GGAGGGAAAGAGGGGGATGGGGGGATATGAAGGGGAAAGAGGGACTGGAGAGGTAAAAGGTGGGTGGAGAAGGAAAAGTGAGGACAGAGAAATGCCTGCAGCACCCCCTGCCCATGTACAGCATGGAGCCCCTCTGGTCCTGGGATGGGGACAAGAGAAAGGTCCCCACCAGCTTGGGGGTACCCAGAGGGTCACCTCAACTTTCAGCAGCCTTGAACTACCACATTACTCTCAGTCCTGAGGGATTTCCTTGGGGAGAAGGTATTTTTTTCTCTCTTCCTAAACTTTTCCAGGTTTTTATTAAATCTACATAAATTGACCTAATTCAGCTCGAGTGGCTCTGGGGGTGGAGGGCACCCCAAACTGCCACTGTAACTCTGCTCTGGCCAGGGAAGGGAGAAGGGCTGTGCCTTGTGAAGGACAGGGGACACCCCCTCTGGGTGACTGATTGTTCCTGGGGCAGGTGCCAGCCCCAGTCTATTGTTTCCAGCTCTGGATCGTGGAACACAGACAAAAATAATTGGATCAGAGGAAAAAAAAATCCTGGCCCAGATTAAAAGCAGCCAAGTCTGAAGAGGGGGGAGGAAAATTGGGGGGGGGGGGGCAAGACGGGCAACCCAGGGAGAGCATTTGGGGGCTCACCCGCTGTCCCCAAGTCCCCAAGGCAGACAGATCCTGGTGAGTGACAGTTTTTCTTCACAGAACACCATGTGCTGGGCTGGGAATGACACGTGGCCATTGGGATTGTCCCCCTCTGCTCCTTGTCACCCCCCCAAGCAGCACTCAGGGAGACCCCAATGTGTCGAGGGGTAGGGACTTACGGACGATAATGGGGTGACACCAGTTGGGGTCCCCAAGGAGACCCTCGGGCACTGGCCGAGCCACTGGGAGCAAAGACCTCTCCCTGGGCCCCCAGGAAGTCGGCCAGTCCCTCCCCGCTATAAGACACCCCACCCCCAGTGCCACCGGGACACCCGACTCCTACCTGTTCCCTCCTTGTCCCCCCCATCTCACAGGGAGCGGCCGCCCGTGCTCCGGGACTCCGTTTCATCGGTGTGTGGGGGGAATTTGGGGGTGGTTGCGGTTGTGGCGGTGTGATACCCCAATG